GTGCTCGCTGTTATCTCTTGCTGAGCAGGCAAAAGTCGGCTGTTTCAACTTACTTTTATTCCAACTCACACAGAGTTTGAGATCGTCCATGGATGATGAGAGTAGAAAAATAGTGAACGGACATAAAAATGCGTATACGAGACCAAACTCCAGTGCATCGACAAAAAATTACGTGCACATGAACAAACTTCTTTTACGCCCTTCTTCTCTTTACTCTTGTCTTCTACACTTTTTACCCAGTTCATATAAAGGTTTTTTAAAGGTTCCTGACGTGGTTCAATTCCAAGGTAATCAAACTCTCTGCGGTATAGGAGGAAATTTGGATAATAACTATAAAAACGATGTTGTGTATAGGTAATTGAATTCTAACCATTAAGTCATAAAAAACATTGCAATTTAGGGTAGAATATCCTTGTTTCAGAAACGGTACAGTGTTCCAAATTACTAATAATCCTGTAAAATACGATGCAGCATTTAATCACGCGGAAGATTCATGGATCACCACGAATTTCCTGGAACTTCGACCAAACGCACCGGCTTGTGTTACCGGAGAACAAGCCAGTGATTTGACAAACTGTGTAAGCTCTACCAAAGTTTTCAAAGTTTTAAGTTTATGTATTTTGACGTTTTCAGGATTCACAAAATGCTGCTACTGTATGTGCTCCAATACAGGCTGCAATGTCTGAAGATGGCCCATTTTCAGATTGTTATGTTCTTGGAAACGACACGATACAAGTAAAATAACCCTTACCATCCTTGGAAATTGAATACAAGGAGGTTTCATGGGCTTTATTTAGGCAATGTATGATAACTGCGTTTATGATGTCTGCCATACTCCGGAACAAAAATGCAATGTGCTACAGATGTTTGCGAGAACCTGCCAAGCAGCTCCTGGTAGGATTCTTATTCTTAGAAAGTTCCAGAAGATTGGATACATTAATCACTCATTTAATTAAAGGAGGCAACATTGGAGATTGGAGAACTGCAACATCTTGCCCTCCTCAAACTTGTCCTTTGCATTCTCATTACGAAACCTGCAGATCGTCTTGTCCAGCCACCTGCATTGATTCGAGTGCTCCTGACTTTTGCGATCTACGTAAGAATTCGATAAAAAAATTATCATAGCTTTTAGACTCACTTATATAGCTTTTAGTATGTTCTGAGGGCTGTACGTGTGATCAAGGCTATGTTCTTGATAACACGCAGATCTCCACTCTGACATGCGTACCCCTTGAGGAATGCGGATGCACTGATACAAATGGAAATTCATATCCAGGTATGTAGATTGGTAGAAATTTTCCTACAAATACTACAAATGAGATGATATATCAGTTTTTTCTGACTTTAGCGCAAAAATTCAAGGTAAACCTTTAAAGTGCGTTTCAATGAGTTTATGAATCTTTTTAACCTTGGACAACCCAACGTTTGAAGGTGAACTGAAAGATACGCACAATACACAACTAAGCTTGTCAAATTTGATGATCACTTGGAATTTGTGAAAAAATAAATTTGACCTCAATTTACCTTCTCTGAATCT